CAATCTAGTCTGTCAACACCATTCTTCCAACAGCATGTGCTCATTTCATGTCTCTGTGTCACATTTGGCAATTCTCACAATATTGCTAACTTTATTTTTATATCTGTTGTGATCTGTGATCAGAGACCTTTGAGGTTATTGTAATTGTTTTGGGGCACCATGAACCATGCCCATGTGACACTGAACAGCACTTTCCCTGTCTCTTTCCCTCTCCTCAGGCCCTCCTATTCCCTGAAATAAACAATAATTTGAAAATAGCTTAATTAATAACCCTACAATAGCTTCGAAGTGTTTATGTAAAAGGAAGCATCTCACTTCTGTCACCTTAAATCAAAAGTTAGAAATGATTAAGCTTAGTGAGTAGGGCATGTTGAAAGCTCAGATAGCCCAAAAGCTAGGCCTCTTGCAACAGTTAGCCAAGTTGGGAATGCAAATGAAAAGTTATTGAAGGAAATTAAAAGTGCTTTTCCAATGAATACATGAGTGACAAAGTGAAACCGCTTTATTACCATAATAGAGACAATTCAAGTGTTCTGGACAGAAGATTAAACCAGCTACAACATTCCTTTAAGCCAAAACATAATCCAGAACAAGTCCCTACTTCCTTCAATTCTGTGATGGTTAAGAGAGGTGAAAAGGCTACAGAAGAAAAGTTGTAAGCTGGCACAGGTTGGTTCATGAGGTTCAAGGAAAGAAGCTATTTCCGTAACATAAAAGTGCAAGGTGAAGCAGTGAGTGCTGATGGAGAAGCTGCAGCAAGTTATCTAGAAGATCTGGCCAAGATCATTGATGAAGGTGGCTCCACTAAACAACAACAACTTTCAATGTAGATAAAACAGCCTCCTCTTGGAAGAAGACACCATCTAGGACTTTCATAGCTAGAGGAGAAAAGTCAATGCCTGGCTTCAAAGCTTCAAAGGACAGGCTGACTCTTGTTAAGAGCTAATATAGCTGGTGACTATAAGTGGCAGCCAATGCTTATTTACTATTCCAAAAATCCTATAGCCCTTAACAATTATGATAAATCTACTCTGCCTGTGTTGTATCAATGGAACAACGGAGCCTGGATAACAGCACATCTGTTTACAGCAAGGTTTACTGAATATTTTAAGCTCACTGTTGAGACCCATTGCTTGGAAAACAAGATTCTTTTCAAAATATTACCACTCGTTGACAAGATAACTGATCACCCAAAAGTTCTGATGGAGATGTACATGGAGATTAATGTTGTTTTCATGCCTGCTAACACACCATTCATTCTGTAGCCCACAGATCAAAGGGTAGTGCCAATTCTCAAGCCTTATTCTTTAAGAAATACATTTTATAAGGCTATAGCTGCCATACATAGTGATTCCTCTGATGAATATGGGCAAAGTACATTGAAAACCTCCTGGAAAGGATTCACCATTCTAAATGCCATTGAGAACATTTGTGGCTGGGTGCAGTGGCTCATGCTTGTAATTCCACTTTGGAAGACTGAGGTGGGCAGATTCAAGACCAGCCTGGGCAACATGGCAAAATCCCGGGAGTTCAAGACTAGCCTGGGCAAATGGCAAAACCCCATCTTTATTAAAAATTAGGCAGGTGTGGTTGTGCATACCTGTAATCCTAGATACTCGAGGGGCTGAGGTGGAGGGATCGCCTGAGCCTGGGAGGCAAAGTTCTCAGTGAGCTGAGATCACATCACTGGACTCTAGCCTGAGGGACAGAGTAAGACCCTGTCTAAAAAAAAAAAAAAGAATATTCATGACTCATAGGTGGAAGTCAAAATATCAAATTAACAGGAGTTTGGAAGAAATTGATTCCAACACCCTTCATGGATGATTTTGAGAGGTTCCAGACTTCAGTGGAGGTAGTAGCTAGAGATGTGATGGAAATAGCAAGCGAACTAGAATTAGAAGTGAAGCCTGAAGATTTGACTGAATTGCTGTCATCTTGTGATAAAACTTGAATGAATGAGGAGTTGCTTTTTATAGATGACTAAAGAAAGTAGTTTCTTGAGACAAGATCTACTCCTGGTGAAGATGCTGTGAACATTGTTGAAATAACAACAAAGGACTTAGAATATTACATGAACTTAATTGATAAAGCAATGGCAGGGTTTGAGAGGATTGATTCCAATTTTGAATGAAATGCTATTGTGGGTAAACTGCTATCAAACAGCATTACATGCCAGAGAAATCTCTCATGAAAGGAAGAGTCAAATGATGCAGGAAACTTCACTGTTGTCCTATTTCAAGAAATTGCCACAGCCACCCCAGCCTTCAGCAACCACCATCCTGATCAGTCAGCAGCCATCAACATGGAGGCAAGACCCTCCACCAGCAAAAAGATTACAACTCACTGAAGGAACAGATGATGGTTAGAATTTTTTAGCAATAAAGTACTTTTAAATTAAGGTACATACATTGCTGTTTTTAGATGTAATGCTTATTTCCAAAGTATGCATGTAAAGCAAAAATATGAGAAATGCAAGGAGAACTTGATAAAAATACAATTAGAGAATTAAATAGATGTCTTCCAGAGTTAAATGCATCTAGTATACAAATCAGTAAATTCAATTTACTAGATTTCTCCCCTGATTCAAGAAACGTTTACAAAATCCTATATTTGGCCAAAAAGGAAACCTTGACAAATTAAAGTTGCCAAAAATAAAGAAAAATGCATGTTTTTAGGGTTATTTTCCTAATCACACTTCAATAAAATGAGGTATAAATTATAAAAGTTTTAGCTTTTGGAAAGTTAATCAATTAATAAGAAATAAAAAGTGAAATTACCAACTATTGACAAAGCAATGAAGTGGAACAGCAAAAGCTACACTCAAAATGAACTTATTGCTTTAAATGTCTCTGTTATTAAAGGTAAAAGAGAAAAAAATTAAGAAACTTAGTACTCATCACTAGAAATTGGGAAATGAATGATGAAAGAAATCAAAAAGGATTGGCTTAATATAAATAGAAGCTGAAATTAATAAAGGAGAAGACAAAAACAAGCCAAAATAAAGCAGAAAGGATAAATCAATCCGAAAGCTGTTTTTATTTTTATTTTTTTGAGACCAATAAAGCAGATAAACTCTTTGTGAACCTGATTAAAGAGAGAATGCACATGGCAAACACACACAAGAGTGCACTTGCGAAAATATGCAAGATTAAAAACAAGAAGGAAACAAAAACATAGATACAGGCATGATTCAAAGAATTATAAGAGATTACTGCTTGCAATTCCATGGCTACAAATTTGAAAACACAGAGGAAGTGAATGATTTCCTAACAAAATATAAATTACCTTAAATTGCCAATCACTGTAGAATATGTTGGGCTGGTGACTAAGAATCTATCATGAAAAAAGGCACAAAGACCAGATGGGTTTAATTTTCAAAGAACAGATGATTCCAATGTTATTTAAACATTTCTAGGCTATTGGAAGAAAAAGGGAAGAATCCCTTCAATTCGGAAGCCAGATTAATTTTGTTTCCAAGGCCTGATAGGCTATGCTAGACCCATCTCACTTAAAAATGCACATACAAAAAAGTTAAATGTTTATCAAATATTTATGCTTCTGTCTCAGCTTAGGTTCTCTAGATAGACTGTAAGGTTTATTGGGGAGTGCTCTCAGGAACAACACCTGTAAGAAAGTAAGAAGTGGAGAAGTAGTGTGGGGAAAGTTAAACTGTAGTACTGCTACAACAGTGACTAGTATCTATCCTGTTCCATGGAGAGCTCTGAACCAGTCATAGGCTATTATTCCCTGAGAAGAAATTAAGCCGTGCCATCAGCAGTCCTCAACCTTGGGACAGCTGTGGTACTAAAAGTCTCCTGCTGAAGGTGGTATCTGGGCAGCACACTGCAGCATCCATCAGACTTGAGTGACAAGAGTTTCAATTTATACCTGATTACCAGCGTGGTTACTAGTGTGGTTTGCTATCAAGAAATTGAGCATTATAATAATTTTTGTGTCAAACTTTTAAAAATGTATTAAGACCACATAATAATTAGATGCTGAAAAGGTATTGAGGCATTGAGGCATTTGTTAATTCATCAGACACTTCTGATACCTCTATAGTTTTGAATAGTGCAGTTTATATGAATATATCATACATTCTGACATGGGCATGTGCAGTCTTCTTTTCCTTTCTCTTTCTTTCTTGGCTTTCCTTCTCTCTGTCTACTGATATCAACCCCAGTACAGTAAGCAGAATAAATAACTATAATATACTGGACCTAAGTAGAAAAAGATTTAAATTGTCCCAGATTTGTTTCAGCAAGAAGCAGTCTGCATTACCAGGTCCCCTTTTACACAGGCATGTGTTAGCAAATTTTTAATTTAATTAAACACATCTTTTTCCAGAGCCATTCTCTAGCTCTCCATTGAACACGCCACCAATATTCCCTGGAGATAGTTAACTCTGACAGGATATAAATGAAAATAAATAAGTGAAAGCCAAAAAAATCATCAAAGTGTGATCATATGTTTAAACAGAAAGTGTACATCTTGATAGGAGGACTCTAAGTGTAGAAGTAAATCAACACCTGTTTGTCAGGGAATTAAAACAGATCCATTCAGAAGTTCTTAACTAATCCACCTTTATTAATGGCAAATACTCTCCCAACAAACAATCCCCCTCCCCTGCCCATAATAAGAGATTTAAAATTAAAAATCTAATTTTAAAAGTATAAAATTTTAAATTTAAAAAGTTTAAAATTTTAAAATTAATAAAGGTATAAAGACTCACACCTGTAATCCTAGCACTTTGGGAGGCCAAGGTGGCCAGATCACCTGAGGTCAGCTCGAGACCAGCCTGGTCAACATGGCGAAACCCCATCTCTACTAAAAATACAAAAACTAGCTGGGTGTGGTGGTGCACGCCTGTAATCCCAGCTACTCAGGAGGCTGAGGCAGGAGAATTGCTTGAACCTGGGAGGCAGAGGTTGAAGTGAGCCAAGATCATGCCATTGCACTCCAGCCTGGGCAACAAGAGTGAAACTCTGTCTCAAAAAAATAAATAAATAAATAAAGATATAAAATCTTAAGGATGAAAAAAATATAGATTCTAGGTCTCTTTCAGACATACCATCACACGTATCTGAAATTAATATGGACCCCTCCCTTTGCAGATCCTGTCTGGTGGTTTTATAGGTGGAGAATCTCAATCATTGGGAGGACTCAATCCTTCTAAGACTGAGAGGCACATCTGTTCTCAATAATTGTTGGAACTCTGGTTTCTCATCTGTAGGATTCACCAACTCTGGGCACTCACCCACTCTATGGGCACCTCAGAGGCGTACTCTCTGAAAGAGAGTAATGGCTGAAAGAGACTTAATGGCTGAGTAGTTTAGAGTTTGGTTCCCTGAGGCACATTTGCACATGCCCCCATCCAGGTGGGGAGCTTTGGAACCATCAGTTACAGTTAGGGAGTGGGACTGGTATCAGCTGTTTCCCATGCACCACCCAGATCCAAAATAATTTCTAGAGTTTGCTCTCCCCCACATTTAAGTTCTAGATAAGACTCCAATTTAGAATTTTATTCTTTATTTGGAGTAATGTTTATTTTCTTGTCACTGCATGGAAATTCAAATATTAATAATAGAAGTTATCTTGATACATATTTGTAAGGGAAATGGCTTCCCTTTAGTCAGGAGTAGGCCGAGGTGGACTTCCAGCACAGCATGACTTAGCATGTTTGGAGCACAGGTGCACAATCCTGCACATTATGTAACCACCTCATGTGAGGTGCATTAGGTAACTAGCCACATGAGTTCATGTTTGGCTCAGAGCCACTACTGTCTGTAAAAGGTAAAACTACCCTGCTGATGTGTACATATGGCTCATTCATTCCCAGAAAGAGAATAAAGCCATGTAAAACTAACTACAATTCCTTGAGTGTTTTTCCAGCTACTTGCCATTTGCCCACCCACTCCCCTCGGATCTCAGTTAGAACATGACCATCGGCCTCATGAACAGGATCCTGAGGTGAGTGAGCCTTTGGTCCCCACTGATTCCAGGTTGGCCATGAGGCCACAGCATGGGTCGTGGTACCTGGTGGCAGCTGTATTGTTTGGATGGGGTTTGGTGGAAACCTGGGTGGCAGAAGATGGGTCCCCCACAAGCATGGAAAAAGCGCTGAAGCTGCTGGAAGCACAGAGCACCGAGAAGGAGTGAACTTTTGTTGGTGGAGTTGGATGGGCATTTTGTGCTATGAGAAGTACACACCCAGTCCCTGAGGGATGCAGTGCAGGTAAGGGCCCTTCAGGCACAGGTGGGGCACCTGGAAACCCAGCTACAGAGCTTGGAAAAGGCATTAGAGGCTGTTGTGAATATAGGCCTGGGTCTATTGTCTCAGCTGGAGATCCCCACTCGGTCTGATACAGAGAAAGAAGAACTCCTGTTGTGGGCTTGCCCAGTGGTCCATCAGAAGGTAGATCATGAACAGCCGTTGGGGCCCCAAGGGAAGGCTCAGGGACCCGCCCCCCCCCCACCATAATGCAACATACTTCATATACTGCCTACACCCCAAATGAGTTGTGGGAATTAGGCAGGCAGTGCCACCAGCATCCAGGGGAACCTCTGCCTGCCCGGATGCTTCATTTATGAGACAAGAGAGCAGAAAGTATCTCCTGTTCTTCCTCTGAGATGGAAAAGCTGGCCTCTATCACAACTCACCCCTCCCTCTGTCAGTGGTTGCAGGTGAGCAGGCAGTTGGCACAAGGACAAAGTGACCACATCCTGACTGAGTGGCTATGGGCAGCCATACAGACTGTGGAACAATGCTGGTGAAACACCTGAAACCGTGAGTAAATTGCCAGTCTATGCTGATTTGGTGCAAGTCATTCGGGAGATGGGTATGCAGCAGGTTATGTGTGACCTGAATCCCCGGGGGCCAGGTGATGAATGCTTCACCTATCACATGGGAGAATTGTGTTGGGTTCTTCACCCCTGAATGCCTTTGGCTCCCTAGCTACTGTCCTCAACCTGTACATAGGCACCACATACATGAAGTGACCACGCTATGGGGGCTCTCAGAGAAGCAGAAGGCCATGGGTGGGGGGGGGGAAGATGCCCTACCCACAGGGGGTCCGGCCATAGGAGAAAAGGGGGCGCCAAAGAGTGACCCACTCATGGACATGTATAGATTTTAATTGGCCGGGGTTGACTGAGAGAAAATTGATAAGCAACCCAATGAAGTACTCTTAACTTTGTGGAGACAGTTGTCTCTGGAGGAGCAATTCCAGAAAACGCCCAAGGGAGAGAAGGACATTGCTGCGTGACCTCGTCCCGCCCAGGCGATTCAGTTCAAAGATGACTTGCTGCAGCCAAGTGGAAATGTAGAGCCTTTTTTGTTTAATTAGGGAACTGGCCAAGGTGCCCAGCTTGGGGGGACACTAAATGACCAGAGGCCACATGAGGAATTAGTGATCCACCAGTCTTCCACCAATGTCCAGTGGGTGCTGGTGGATACTGGCACAGATTGCAGCATTGTTTATGGGAACCTGGATAAGTTTCTGGGCAAACCTGCTTACATTGACAGTTATGACAGCTGGTCAGTGAAAGTGAAACCTGTATCTCTACACCTTGGCATCGTCATTTGGCTCCCTGTTTATTCACTGTGTATCTCTCTCCTGAATACATTCTGGGGGTGAGTGTTTAACAAGGTTTGGCAGCTGTCTCATCTATCATGGATTTGATAGACTGCTTGATGATGGAATTGGAACAATACCTCTATGTGGTAGACTTGGCTAATGCATTCTTCTCCAGAGAGCCAGGAACAGTTTACCTTTATGGGAGGGCGACAGTGGACTTTCATGGTGTTGCCACAGGGCTATATGCACAGCTGCACCATATGTCGTAATCTCGTTGATGATATTATGTTAACCTCTGATTCTCTTGCAGATTTAGAAGCAGCAATGCCTCTCTTGCCTGGGATTGGGATGGTGTGGCTGAGACCACCTTACTGGCAGCCAGGTGAGCTATTCAGCAGGCACAAGCTCTACAAGTAATTAACCAGGGGCACCTGTTTGAGCTGGATGTGCATGTGGCCACAGATGGTTTTGGCTGAGGCTTGTGGCAATGCACAGAGCACCTGAGAATGCCAGTAGGCTTTTGGTCTCAACTATGGAAAGGAGCTGAGCTCCGGTATTCCTTGATACAGAAAGAGCTAGCAGCTGTATATGCTGCCCTTCAAGCTCATGAGAGCATGACAGGACAGGCTGCAGTCATCATATGGACAGCTTACCTGATAACAGGATGGATGCGTCTATGGGTAATAACCACCTGGACTGGGATAGCACAAACGTCCACTTCGGCAAAGTGGGGTGCCTCCTTGCAGCAGTGGAGTAAGATGAGTACAAGTCCCATAGCAGCAGAGTTGCAAGAGGTCTTGGGACATGTAGTCCTAATGCAAGATAAGGCCATGGGGCCTGAGGAACCCCTAGATCCTGAATCTTCACCATTTAAGAAAGGGCATCCCACTATTCCTGATGGGGCATGGTACACAGTAGCCGAGGTGCTACTGCTGCCTGGACCACTGTTGCAGTCCAACCTAGTACTGACACCATATGGTTTTAAACTGGGTGTGGACAAAGCAGCCAGTGGGCTGAACTCAGAGCAGTGTTGATGGTGATCACCAAGGAGGTGACAGACCCATTTGGGGCCAAGCCATATGGCAAGATCTTTGGGAAATAAGTCATCAGAAAGAGGTAACTATCATGTGTCAGGTCACATGCCTTTGGCCACCCCTAGTAATGATGAGGCAGATGCCTTGGCCAAGGTCAGATGGTCAGAGTCAGCACCAACATGAGATGTGACCTTGTGGCTACACTGGAAACTTGGACATGCAGGGGATAAACTGATACAACAATTCAATAAGTGTTGGGATCTGTCCCTGCCCAAGCAAGACATTTGTGAGGCTTGTCAAAATACCTGGCACGTGCTCAGGCATACCCTAAAAAGAGGCAGCTGCCTGGTGTTATACAACAAGTAACAATAGGGTGAGTGCCCTTGACCAGGTGGCAAGTAGACTGCATCGGGCCACTGCTGAAGTCACGAGGGTATACACATGCACTAATGACTGTGGACATGGCCACAGGCCTGTTGTTCACCTACCCTTGCAGGGTGGCCAACCAACAGAACACCATCCAGGCCCTGCAACACTTATGTTCCCTGTATGGTTGTCCTCTGGCCACTGAGAGTGATAGGGGAACACGTTTCACTGGACAACAGGTACAATGATGGGCACAGCAAACGGACATAAAGTGGGGATTCCATGTGCCATACAACCCACAAACTGCGGTATGATTGAGTGATATGACGGGATCTTGAAGAATGGATTACGCTTGCGTGTCACACCCCTGTCTTAGCGAAGCTGGAATTCCAGACTGGACCTGGTGCCCCAAACCTTAAATCAATGGCCACAGAAAGGTAGCTCGGCCCCAGTGGAGACACTGGGCCACCACCCCCATTCAATTGGAGATACATACTAAGGATGACCTCCTCCAACCAGATATGAGGACAAATGGTAACCTGTTGTTGCCTGCCCCAACACCCCTGAAGACGGGAACAGAAAACCTGGCTGTGGCTATGGACCCTCCAAGCTCTCCACTGCCAGTGGTTGGCCATCGTAGCTCCCTGCCGGGAGGGCCTAGAGTATGACTTGCATGTTACTTTTCTAGTGTTCAATACATGGCTTCCATGGTTGACTGTTTGTAGGGGAACAGCCAGTGAAGGAACCCTCCTCTGAGGGACATATGTACTCTCTGATGGGCCTATTATGAGCTACGCTGTGACTCTGGCATGGATACAGGACTCAAAGGAACCATGGAGATCTGAGAAGGTGTGGTACCATCGCCCAGGGCAAAAGCCCTTGGTGGCTGCGTTGTTATCCAGGGATGGAAAGTTAGCCCATATTTTGCCTGAGGGATATGATTTACCTCTGTTAGTACCTGTGCCTGCTCTGTCATTTCAACCGTAGGTTAACATGCTCCAATTGCATTGTGGACTGAGTCTACATCTATGCTGAGGTGACCAACGTTTCCAACTGTTGGATCTGCACTGCCTTTCCAGCAGCAGCTGTGGACAGCTTGCCCTGGCACATATATCCCATATCTGCAGAGAACTGGACATGGCTGGATGCTTGGGATCCCATGGCTGATGCCTGGAACACAATGTGGCAAGCTTCGGACAAAGGATACTGCAAGACCCTTGACTGGACCATAGCATTCGTGATGAGTGGGGCTGGCTAGTGGGGGAACGTGTAGTACCCCAAGCCAGGCACCGCGGTGCACAGAGCATCACTGGGGTAACAGGATGGGTACTTGTCACGGCCTGTGCAAACATAACACATGTCACCACACCAAAGGTATGGTGGAACAAGTGGCACCACCAAGGTCGGACCCCAATGGACTTTGTGCCCCCTGGGAGCTTATGGGTCTATGGGGACACAGGGTAGCCTTTCCTATCAGCAAACTAGATTGGACATTGTACCTGGGGGTGGCCTTAGGTACCTGCCACTCTTCTCCCCACATTGCCCAGATGCCTGTATAACTGGTAGGCACTGTTCTCTCAGTTTTTGCAAGTGTGACGAGCCCCCTGGTGTTTCTACCCTTTGGCAATGACTATCCCTGGAGCAGGTGTCATAACTGTAGAAGCACAATTTACTACTCTTGCAGAGCACACCATTCAGGCTCTGAATTACACCCGAGTGTCCCTCCTCCTGTTAATGAATGAGGTTGATCAGATCTAAAAGGTGGTGTTGCAAAACCAAATGGCCTTAGACATAACTGCTGCCCAAGGAGCCACCTGTGCCCTTTCAGGAACACAATGTTGTACCTTGATCCCTGACAATCAGCAGAACATAACAGCAGCCCTGCAAAGGGGTCTTACAGGAGATTAAGGTGACTGAGAGCTTTATTGTCAACCCCCTGAAGAGATGGTGGACATCCCTAGGTTCCGGCCTACCTTGGACCGTAACAGTCAAAAGTAGCACAGCTGAGATGCTAGTAGTGAGCGGTTGCTCTCTGTGTTGTTGTGGCTTATGGATTCAGGGCTCCCCTGTATAGGCATGTGTCCCTGCCTGGAAGATGCCCTCAGCCTAGGAGGTGTAGTGTAAGGGAAATGGGTGTGCTTTAGTCAGGAGTAGGCTGAGGCAGCCTTCTGGTGCAGCATGACTCAGTGGGTTTGGAGTGCAAGCACACAACCCTGCTCATTATGTAACCACACTACACAAGGCACATTAGGTAACCACTCACATGAGCTCTTGCTTGGCTCAGAGCCACTATTGTCTGTAAAAGGTATACATTATTGTCTGTAAAGGGTATACCCTACTGATGCTGTACATATGGCTCGCTTGTGCCCAGAGACAGAGTAAAGCCATGTTGAAACTGTCTACAATTCTTGGAGTGTTTTTTCAGCTACCCACCATTTGCGCACCGACTCCCCTCAGATCTCAGTTGGAACCTGAGTGTTGAATCAGAACAAGGGTCCAGTTGAATTTCAAGTTTAATGACTACAGGCTAAGTCATCCTGATACACTGTTCTCAAAACAGACATAAGATGCTCAATGTGATCTGAGTAGTTCAGGCCTGACAACTAAGATTCCTTTTCCTCTGGATGGCAACTGAATGGGCACCACTCAGAGTTTCTTCTGTAATTTTCCTTTTTCAGTGCTTTCAATTCTGACTAATCCTCCTTTAACTAATCCATATATCAAGCTAAATTAATGTCTGGGCTGAATGCGGTGGCTCACGCTTGTAATCCCAGCACTTTGGAAGGCCAAGGCAGGTGGATTGTTTGAGGCCAGGAGTTTGAGACCAGCCTGGCCAACATGGTGAAACCCCATCTCTACTAAAACTGCAAAAATTAGCCAAGCATGGTGGCACATGCCTGTAGTCCTACCTACTCGGGATGCTGAGGCACGAGAATCACTTGAACCTGGGAGGTGCAGGTTGTGGTGAGCTGAGATCGTGCCACTGTACTCCAGCCTGGGTGACAGAGCAAGACTCTGTCTCAAAAAAAATTATTTAATTGATTGATTAATGTCTGTTGGGAAAATTTTAGTAAAATGCTGCTGACCCAATCCTTATCTTAGTATTGATATTATGTGGAATAGAACAAAACAGACCTAAAACTGTGTCTGAAATATGCTAATTCTGAAACAAAGTTTTCTTTAAAGCGATCTTAGGAATCAAAGAGAAAAGCAGATCTTGACCTTTTGTTGTTTGCTTATTTTTAGAAGAAAAAAGGAAAAGAAAAAAACATCTTGCGAAGTAGACAAGAACCACTTTATTTCAAGCAGTCGGGGTAGTCATCTGGTTAGACACAGACGACCAGGCAGGATGAGCTCTTTGGACTCTTCTAACTCTATGTTACATGGCTCAAGTGCCAAAAGATACCTCTTCACGTGATGTTCTTCCACTGATAGCGAGAACTTTTCTCAAGAAATGTAAGTAATTCTGAAGTACAACAGATCTCCAATTCTTTATAAGAAACAGATTTTTTAGATAGAGATAATTAATTTCATATTTTCCATCTATTTGTTGCTATTTTCCCCGAGCCTTTATTTGTTTTCATTTTAATTCTCCACAAATTCTTTGGTGGAAAACTGCAATTACATTTAACTACAGAGAGGTAGTTAGATGATGTATGTATAGATTTTATGTTTTAATGATTCTTTTATCCTCTTATGAAATCAGTTATGTATCTCTATTCAACTGGTCTAATAACCGAGGTCAGTTCAGTTAGGCTGTAATGTTAAAACAACCAAAACCACATTATATTGAATACTTCTCATTAACAACATGATTGCCTTTTGTCTGTATTTTATTCCTTTTAACACAAAACACACAATACACAAATAATATCTAACATTCCCAATTAGAAGAATAATTTTGAGTGGCATCGAATTAAGAAAGAACAATCTAGGTGGAGATTTAGCAGTAGCAACCTGCAAACTTCCCTCATGCAATTTGGCACTAATGAGGATGTATACTTACTATGTGTTCTGATCTCCAAGAGCAATCCCATCCTAGGAGTGATTCTGTGGCTTTACCTCCACAGCCATAATGAACTAGGGAGTGAGATAATTTTATGAGTCCTGATTACTCAAAACTCATCAGTGGTTGGGTTTTATTTCTCTGTTCAAATTGACCACTTTTCTTTCTACTTGTGCAGATGCTTTGCCCTGTTCTTTTCATTCAACACCCATTCCTTTCACCCACACTACAAATATAGCAGATTTCTTCTCTTTGGCAGTGGCAGAATTTTTTTATCAGAGAAACTTATGAACAGCAGTCTGCTTGGAACTGGGAATGGTAAGGACAAAACACTCTGTTTTAGTTGTATGTTAATTGAAGGTAGGTTTATTGGGGTGATTGAGCTTATGTTGGAGGATGCTGAAGTAAGATTCCTGAAATCAAGCTAGAAATAAATATTCCTGAAGAGGAATCATATCATACTTTGAGGTGACACTACTGGGGTAGACTATAACTAAAGCTAGGGTTACAGACAAAGGAAAAGAGCATGGAGTATGGTTGATGGGAAGCACAGGATTCTAGTAAATATCTCTGAGTAAGGCGCACCCTTTGCGAGATAATGTTGCCCATCAATACTACAACTGGGTACTAGACAAGGGAGATATCACAAATAAGGAATTCTAAGCTTCAGTACTGAGAAACATATCTACTTGAGTTTCTTTCTAACATTATCCTAAGGATCTGCCACGAAACTGATGTGCTACAAGGTCCTCTACCCATTTCTAGTAATGACATGCAAATCTTTATATGGTTTCCAAGGTGCTTCCAAAATCATGCTGCATAATTGACACTAAAATAGAAGCTTCCAGTGTTAGAGGGAAATGAAGAGAAGAGGTGCCCTTTCTATATCCCTTTTTCACATGGTTTCCTTCAGTATGATAGCTTCACCATTAAGATGCTGAAAATGTGCTGCTTTCCTTTCACTTTGCTTGAATATTTCTCTTGCAATGTGTTCAGATCTGTGGCCTAGAAGATATGTCATAGGTCCAGCCTGCCTTTCTTTACCTTTTAAGAGGCAATATGATATAAGAGAAATATGTCCTTGGACTGAAAATCAGCAGTACTAATTACCAGTCCTACTTCTACTATTTTTTAAATGTGTAACTTCAAACAAGGCACTTTTACCACTTTAAGCTCCATTTATAAAATGGGAGAGTTAACTAATTCTCTGGTTTGCCAAGGTTTTTTTTTTTTTCTTTTTTTCCTTTTTGGATTAGAATCCTTATTTGCAAGTGGAATTTTATTTTTAAAAACCCTAACGTATAAAACAGAGCAAAGTGGAATTCCTTAATTTGAAGAGGGTGGGTGGCATGTGGAGCCCTGTTTGTTTGATCCCATGCTCTCCTCTCCCCTTCCACCGTGTTAGCCTCTGAATCTCTTCTGTGGAACCCAGGAGATGCAAACCCATTTTTAAAAGCACAACTCTAGATGAGCCTTTTGAGTCCTAAATTCTGTGATTCAACAATAAGTTACCTCACTCTTCTCTGCTTGGATGCAGAGCATCTGGCTCAATTTCAGTTAGTGTGTGTAATGTCAGAGAAAGGGAAAGTCAGGAAGTACAAACTTTGCAAAAAAGAAAAACACAGCCAGCAGAAAATAGACTTCAAATCTATGTAGGGATGTTTGTTAAATTGGTTTGAATTCCACTGTTACATCTGCTGGCATCACTTACTGGATTTGGATCTATAAACCTAGCTTTGTGGAGTTGAAGCTCTCTCTCAATGTGACAACCTCTCCCTACAGACTCAGACTTGTTCCAGTTCCCTAGCCCTCCTCAATGGAGGAGGAACCCACACTGATAAACCTGCCTTGCCCCTACCTGCCATTTCATCTTGCAACCTCGAGAACTGTCACCCAGAATCCAGTGACATAACCAATGCCCATGTGTCTCCACAGGTCTTCTCTATGGCCAGCCAAATAAAGGGTCAAAAGCAGTATGAGGTGGGCGGATCATTTGAGGTCAAGAGTTTGAAACCAGCCTGGCCAAGATGATGAAACCCCATCTCTTCTAAAAATACAAAAAAATTAGCCGGGCATGGTGGGGGTGTCTATAATTCTAGCTACTTGGGAGGCTGAGGCAGGAGAATTGCTTGAACCTGAGAGGTAGAGGTTGCAGTGAGCCAAGATTGCACCACTGAACGCCCGCCTGGGCGACACAGTGAGACTCTGTCTCAAAAAAGAAAAAAAAAAAAGGTGATGCAAAAAAATCTTGAGCACTAATTATATACCAGTAATTATGCTAAAAGCTTTATTACTATGCATATTGTAAGAACAATCCCGTAAGGTGGTTTTATTATCCCCCTTCTCACTAATGAAGAAACTGAGACTTGGAGTTTTTTTATTAGAAACAAAGACAATATCTAGCACACCAACAATGAGCCCCAAGTACCTTTGCTGTCTTCTTTGCGGCCCCTGCATTGTTATTTAGGATCGGGACACCAACCTGCTCAGCTGAGACCCAGAAATTCCAGCAGACCTTTGTAGCTCTGGTTGACTGCTCTAGTGAAGCTGACGATTGATTACGGGGAGTCCATTAACCAACATAGGCCACTTACTCATAAAATAATCTAATGTTTAAAATGCCACTACATGTTTAGAAAATATTTTAGATCACTGACTACGGTGGAAGGTAATTTACATTATGGAAGCAATCATTTAATCATTGCAATTTGCCAAGGTATTACCTATTCAACTAATTATCTTTTAATTATGTAGTTTCAAAAATTGAACACTATATTATTTTAGCCAATGCCAAAATCTTATTTCATAATTTCCCAATGAAAAGTATAATTTACTATACAGTACAATGTAATTTCCCACAGAAATTAAGTTTCATTTTATTCTTAATTACAGGATAAATATTCCTATAATTGCCATAACTGTACATAACCAATGAGGAATCTTGGCCTTTTAGAAAAATGCAATTGTAGAATTCTAGAAGGTAAAACAAAAGCAGTCAATTAGGTTTTTCCAGACATGTTAAGCAAGCACTGACTTTCCATACAAAAACCACTGATCAGCAACCTAACAGTAGTTCTCAACTGGCTGCACCTTAGAATACTCTGGGGAGCTTTAAACAAACAACCTGATGCTTAGGGGTCGAAAACCAAAACCGCCGCATGTTCTCACTCATAGGTGGGACCTGAACAATGAGATCACTTGGACTCAGGAAGGGGAACATCACACACCGGGGCCTATCATGGGGAGGGGGGAGGGGGGAGGTATGCACTGGGAGTTATACCTGATGTAAATGACGAGTTGATGGGTGCTGACGAGTTGATGGGTGCAGCACACAACATGGCAGAGTATACATATGTAACAAACCTGCACGTTATGCACATGTACCCTAGAACTTAAAGTATAAATT